CAATCTGTCGAATATGGAAACAATTATTTATAGACTTAAATTATGATTTTATAAAGCCCAATGTACACAATGATGTACACAATGATGTACATAATGATGTACACAATGATGTACACAATGATGTACACAATTATGTAAACAATTTACTTTATAACAACATCAAATACACATAAAATTGCTTAAATGTCGGTCATCCACAAATAGGAAAAAATCTGTGAAATACAAAACAAAGAAAAAGTCCAAAATTTTAGTCTTTGGAAGAAGGTAATATTATTTATTATTATTAATATTATTTTTAAAGTAATGACTTTACTTCCTCTAAAATAATTTGCAGTACACATTTTGTAACTTTTAGTAGACATTTTTTTGGTAAAAAATTATGACTGTTTTTAAATTTTCTATATTACATGTTACTCTCGTCTTTTCACTGCAACAAAAAAACTTGTGAAAACTTTTGAATAAAAAGTTGAATTCATAAAGGATATCTAAAAAATTACTAATAATCAATTCAAATATTATTTAATATTTGAAATTTTCATTAAAGTGTTTATTAATTAAAATTATTAAGTTCAAATATGTAGAATTGATAAACAAATGTTGCTGTACATTTATCACAAAAAAAGTAATATTGAAAACACATATGCTCATTGTTCAGTGCTATGTGCTAAATTTAGTAACGTCTAACTCAGCTAAACCAGGCTATTGGGGTCGGCCAAGACTAAATTTCAGTTGTGTGCAGTACGGTGTTAGTCAGTTGGGCTTTGCGCACCAGTTCATTTGAAGTACCGTACCGGCGAGTCTGTTAAAAATATACACCATATACTTACTTACATAAAACTAACCTAAAGGGGTATAGGTCAAGTAGGCCCATGATAGGCAGGAAACTGTAAAAAGTCTGGCCGTGCCATTATAGTTAAAACTGGGAAACATAAGAAAGGGTCAGGTCGGTACATGCCACGCATCAATAAGGCCGGTACAAGGGGTCGGGTCGGTACATGCCACGTGTCACTAAGGCCGGTACAAGGGGTCGGGCCAGTTCAAATTCAAATTAACCGTAGTCCACCGTGTATTGTATATTCTTAAATTATTTGGGCACCCTTTATACTGTAGATATATACTTAAATATCCAATATCAGGACAGGACAAATATAATACAGGGTGTCCTACACAACATAACATGTCGTCTTCTATACACTGTATTAGATATTAAAGAATTTTTGCATTTTATTTTGTTAAAAAAATCTTTTACTCAAACATATTTTACTATGAAATCAATTTTACTAAAATATGACTACCATATGATATGTTTCATTCGTCTCTTTGGTATCAAACAACTCAGCAAATTATGGAGAAAATTTTTTTTAAATATTCCCCAACTGTCATGTTTTGTGGGACACCCTGTATATTATAAGGGCAGGACAAATATCATATATTAGGAGGATACTTGAATCTTGACATTCAACATTCATTATACATAATATATATTACCTTTACTCTACCCTCACGATTTCTTAGTATTTTTCAGGATTAGGAATTTGTCCAAAAACTGTAATTTAATATAAATTCTTAAATACTTTTTAAAAAAGTTTTATTTTTCGGCACAAAAAATTAAACATAAAATTAAAACAATAAACGTAAAAATTACAAAAAATAAAAATCGAAATTACAAAAAAATAAACATTAATATTACAAAAAGTAAAAATTTTGAATAATAACAAATTAAAACAAAAAACATAAAAATTACAAACATTAAACATACAAAAATTAGGAAAAACAAACATGAAGAATGCAAATGAATCATGAAGTTGGCAGTGCTTCTTGGCTCTTCTATAATGTACAGTTAAACAAATAGATGGCGCGAAGTGCACTGAAAGACTAGTTTTGTAATATTTGTTAAGGCAGTTTAGTTTAAAATATCTAAGAAATCTATTTTGTCTTGTCTGAGCCTCATGTAAAAAAAAGAGGATTAGAATTTATTTTAAAAGAGAATATTCACAATTTAAAGTTTGAAAGGATAATCCGTAATCAAATTGAATTTTTATCACGGAATATTTTAAATTTCACTTTTTAACAGATATCGTGATATCTGATATATGATAAATTAATATCAAATTCTCTTTGATTTAATTATTGTTCTTTTTTGCCCCCTTTGATTTAAAAAGAACCTTGAACTTGAAAGCTTTGTCTGATAAAGTAGGAACTAAATATCCATGTTTTTGTTTCTCTAAACAGATTATTTTTATTTGTGGTTTCTCTGCAAAAGTGTCTTTTGCATTTCCTGCTTATAAGAACCAATCGAGCAATTCCCTCTTTTAGATTCAGAAAAACAACGTTATCTTTCACATTTTCAAGGGTACCTTTGTAAATCTGACATTGCTATATTTACACGAAGGGTCACTTGATATTACGCTTACAGTCCCTTTAAGTATGTTTATGAGGGAAAATGTATTAGTTAGGTTAAAAATGAATAATTCCTTCTTTAATGTAAATTTTCTTCTCAAGAAGGTAATTCTTAGATCTTCAAAACATCATCTGATATTTCTCTCAAACTAGTTTTGTTACTGGGAAATTCTTAATTCTACAGAGCATCCACAAATTTAAATTTGGGATTTTTTTTCCTTTTCTTTCAATTTTTGTGGCCTTAGTTTTTTAATACCGTGAGTAAGGGATTCTGCAGGACAGGCGAGCAATAAAACGGCTAAAATTGATTTAAAATTAAAATTAAAATGAATTCACGTTTTAATAAAAGTTTTGGCCAAACCTCGAATTTTGATTTCTAACCCTAATAAGTAATAAAATAAAGTATCGAAATTTCCAAATATAACTATAATTGCCTCATTATGTACGATGTTAGGAGAAAATTTAGTATACTGTGTACATACTGAAAACATTAGTATACTGTGTACATACTGAAAACAAAAACATTAGTATACTGTGTACATACTGAAAACATTAGTATACTGTGACATACTGAAAACTTTAGTATAATACTGTGAACATACTGAAAACATTAGTATACTGTGAACATACTGAAAACATTAGTATACTGTGTACATACTGAAAACATTAGTATACTGTGTACATACTGAAAACATTAGTATACTGTGACATACTGAAAACTTTAGTATAATACTGTGTACATACTGAAAACATTAGTATACTGTGAACATACTGAAAACATTAGTATACTGTGACATACTGAAAACTTTGGTTTATATGAAGTACAGAACCGACCTTTGGGCAACTGTGCAGTGAGCAAACACGCTTGAAAAGAAAAAAAGCATCTTGTGAGATTAATGGTTCTCATGGTTCTCCTGGTTCTAGTGGTTCTACTGGTTCTCCATGGTTCTCCTTGTTCGCCTGGTTCTCCTGGATCTCCTGGTTCTCCTGGTTCTCCTGGTTCTCTGGTTCTCCAAGTTCTCCTTGTTCTCCTGGTTCTCCTGGTTCTCCTGTTTCTCCTATTTCTCCTGGTTCTCCTGGTTCGCTTGGTTTTCCTGGTTCTCCTGGTTCTCCTGGTTCTCCAGGTTTTCCTGGTTCTCCTATTTTCCAATTTCTCCTGGTTCTCATGGTTCACCTGGTTTTCCTAGTTCTCCTGGTTCTTCTGGTTCTCCATGGTTCTCCTGGTTCTTCTGGTTCTCCATGGTTCTCCTGGTTCTCCTGATTATTCTGATTCTCCTGGTTTTCCTGGTTATCCTGGTTCTCCTGGTTCTCCTGGTTCTCCTGGTTTTCCTGATTCTTCTGTTTCTCCATGGTTCTCCTGGTTCTCCTGGTTTTCCTGGATCTCCTGTTTCTCCTGGTTCTCCTGGTTCTCCTGGTTCTCCTATTTTCCAATTTCTCCTGATTCTCCTGGTTCGCCTGGTTTTCCTAGTTCTCCTGGTTCTCCTAGTTGTCCTGGTTTTCCTGGTTCGCCTGGTTCTCCTGGTTCTCCTGGTTCTCCTGGTTCTTCTGGTTCTCCTTGGTTCTCCTGATTCTTCTGGTTTTCCTGGTTTTCCTGGTTCTCCTAGTTCTCCTGGTTCTTCTGGTTCTCCATGGTTCTCCTGATTCTCCTGGATCTACTGATTCCCCTGGTTCTCCTGGTTCTTCTGGTTCTCCTTTGTTAAACCTGGTTCTCCTGGTTCTCCCTGGTTCTCCCTGGATCTCCTAGTTCTCTCTGGATCTCCTGGTTCTCCTGGATTTCCTGGTTCTCCATAGTTCTCCTAATATATATTCCTGAATTGAATGCTATGTTTGTAGGATGTAAAGTACATGTCTCCATCAGTTTAAAGTATAATGGTAGAATGAAGGACTGAATGGTGTGCTAGGGGGAGGATATCAGTTTAAAGTATAATGGTGGAATGAAGGACTGAATGGTGTGCTAGGGGGAGGATATATTGGCAAGAGTACTAGATTACTAAACCAGAGGGATTACAGTTACATTTATATTACAAGTTTACAGATAGATACAATCGTAATGCCATAGAGTAAAGAATAAAACCCTATTGTACTGCAAGAGTACAGTATACAACCCTATTGTACTGCAGGAGTACTGTATATACCTCTATTGTACTACATGAGTACAGTACATAACCCTATTGTACTACAGGAGTACAGTACATAACCCTATTGTACTACAGGAGTACAGTACATAACCCTATTGTGCTGCAGGAGTACAGTATATAACCCTATTGTACTACAGTACTACAGGAGAACAGTATATAACCCTATTGTACTACAGGAGTACAGTTCATAACCCTATTGTACTGCAAGAGTACAGTACATAACCCTATTATACTGCAGGAGTACAGTATATAACCCTATTGTATTGCAGGAGTATAATATATAACCCTATTGTACTGCAGGTGTACAGTATATAACCCTATTGTATTGGAGTAGTACAGTATATACCCCTATTATACTGCAGGTGTACAGTATATAACCCTATTGTACTGCAGGAGTACAATACCCCTATTATACTGCAGGAGTACAGTATATAACCATATTGTACTGCAGGTGTACAGTATATAACCCTATTGTATTACAGGAGTACAGTTTCCAAATCACGATGAGACAGCAGTGGAATGATAACAGATTAGTGTACGAGGATCGGCTGAAGGAGAAAATGAAAGGTCAGATCAGTGGCGTAAATTAGGGGGTCATTGGGGTTACTTACACCCCATTAGAATCCTGGGGGCTCTACCCCTAGAATCTTAGGGACACAAATATCCCCGTTTAGTAACTTGATATCCATTCTCCATGTTTATGATTACCATTAATTATTAGGAAAAATGTTAAAAAAATTTTACCGCTTCTTGCCAGATAATTACTCAATCAACTTTATCAAAGTAACATAGATAAATTTTACCCAAAAATCGAGTTTTTTTAATGCAGTAGCGTATTTGCACTATAATTAAGTATAAAGCTCTCCCGGGGGGGGGGGATAAAATGTTAAAATATCAAGATTATTAAGAATTAGATTTTAAAAAGTAAGACATTTCTCTTTTAATATAGTGAAATTAACATATATCCCTGGTACATTGACGACAAGAAAATTTTAGAAATTAGAAATTAGAATATAAACAAAGACAATATTTTTTCAAAGTTTTGCAGAGTAGCTTTTCTAAAGATTTAAAAAAGTTACATCTTTTTCTTCTTAGAATAAAACTATTTTTATGTTACTTATTTTAAAGATATTTATAGTTAAAGTCAAATGAATGACTATAATGAAGGATATAAAACAATGTGAAAGCTTAAAGGTAGGAATAATCCGCAAGTTTTTTTATCGCAGAGTACAATTATATAAAAAATCAAGGCAAAGCATGATTATATGTATGCACTTCTCTTTATTTTATAATTTAAAATTTACGAAACGAAAACTTGAGAAATGTGTTGTGCTCGTACACAATTTTAGGTTTGAACGAAATGCTTTTAATTTTACGAAAAATTTTGGATTTTTTAAAGTCGCTTTTTTGCAATAACGTATTCCATTTCTACCACCTAGGTTTTCGTTGGGATTTCCAAATACTTGAATAAGACCCCCCCCCCCCCTCCATCACCTTCCAAACCATCTCCTGTTCTCGTAGTATAAGAATCAGCATTGCAGAGGTTTGAAAGCCAATTAATATTTTTCTCATAGTTTCTTCAGTATTCTTTCATTCTCTCCTGCAATACAGTGCTTCCCAAAGTAGAGGAAAAGTAGAAAATGTGGAAAGAGTTGACATTTTTACATGTATTTTTACAGATAGTTTGTCCATGTGCGTTCAGTGAAACCCACAAAAATGGAATATGAAGACGACATTTGATTTCCAAGCGACAGAAGCTTTTTAGAAAAACTCGTTGAGAATTATTTTTAATTACTTCTCAAACTCTAAAGCTTAAAATAAATGTTTTTTATTTCTAAAACTTTCATGTACAAAACAGTATAAGTGAGTTAGTTAGGTAAAAACACAGGTCAAGCCGTTAAGACACTTCCAAGTGGATCCGGTCTTAAAAAATGAGGCAATTTTTTATAGCAGTCTTAATCCATGTATCGTACATTGTACAGGGCTCCTTAAAAGTTTGCCAGAAAATAATATCAAAATCTGAAAGTAAAAAGTGAAAGTTAAAATCTGAATGTGAAAATCTGAAGGTCAAAATCTGAATAATCTGAAGGTAAAATCTGAAGGTAAAATCAACTTCTTTCATGAGAAAAGTAATCTTTTACTAATGTTAAACGATGGGGCGAAGGTAAAAAAATATTCAATATTTAAGAAATTGACAACAAAAAATCATTTTTTCGGTTCCACCCTGTACTGAAGGAGCTGAATACATTATATTGAAGAGGTTGAGGAAAAGAGGGATATTTAATGCTCTGCTAGAAACCTGCAGCTAGGCTAGAGTGTAAACTGTAAACTAGAAACCGTAGAATATACAGATAAGATAACACAAGAAAAATACAAAACTATTTTTGTTTAAAAACAACGTGTGCAGAAACTATATTTTTAGTGCGCTTCGCGACCTTTTTTAATTAAATGATATTGTTAATAGTTTCTGCTTATTTAAGTACACTTCATTTTTTGCGGATTTTTATTTTTAAAGGAATTGAGTTTTTGCCACAAAATCAAATCTTCTGATCTCAATTTCTTTGCAACCTGATGGTGCAAAGCTTTGATATTTCAAACTTAGATTACTTTTTTTATAAGCAAAAATAGTTTAAAATATCATTGGTCTACGACCTTGGGTTACAAAGATATAGAGATTAGAAAATCAGAGTTTGTGGCAAAAACTAAATTCCTTTACACATTTTGTCCTGGCCTTATCCATATACCTTCCCTGGGGTCAGGTCAGATAATTGGGTACATAGTTCCGCTATTTTCACGTTTATTGAATACAAACATAAAACAAACAAACAAAATCTCAGTGCTTCTCATACATATAGTTTTTTTATAACTGTATTACCAAAAGCCAAAAAAAATGGAAGCTGCCAAATTTTTTTTTAATTAGGCAATTTTGCTCTAAACCATAATTAGTCTAATGTTTTTTGATTTTATTTTTTATTATATAATTTGTATATTTTGGAGGCCAAAACCTAAACTAAAAGGTTTTTTATTAAGAAACAGTTAAAAGCAAAGACTCTCGATATAAAGATGATACAATAGTTTATCTGACTCTTATGTACGCTCTGTTCAGCTGTATTTGAAGTCATTGGTTATTTTGTTTGCTTGAGCGTTCAACAAAAACCGCAGATATTTAACACAATAGTGAATATTTTGTGCTAAAAGTGAACACAAATTAATAATGTTAAATTTAAGATATTTCAAAGTTGTTTAATCATTTGTTGGATAGAAGGATCTTTTGTTGAAATAAACCTAAATTTGTGAATAAGTTACTAATCTCTTTTTTTATGATAAATAGCCAATAATCGTTAATGAAAATTTTCAAATTGGTCAAATATGTTTTTTTCAACAACTAGGAATTAACATTTTAGGCAGTGAAAGTAGCAGGACACTAAATATATCTAATATAAAACGTTAAAAAATGTGAGCTAATGTCGTTTGTTGTTTCATCATAAACATAAAAATAATTTTGCATAAATGTATGTATGATATCTTCTTTTGTTAAAAAGTATGAATCATTAAATAGAATGAAACTTCCAAGCAAGCAAAAAATGCCTTTATTCAGTTGGGAAGACGACATTTGTTTACAATTTTTAATAGACCAAAGAAAGTGCGTAAATTTGCGTAGATTTTCCGATGACGCGTCTTTATATTTAGAGTCTTTGGTTAGAATTATTTACATCAAATTTCATAAATTGTTTTTTCTTAAAATTCTAAACGATATCCCTCAATTAGAAGCTTTTCTAGTAAAGTGTTAATTAGATATCACTGTTTCTAATTTTGAAAACTGATTATTTTCAATTGTGGTTTTACTACAAAAACATACGAAGAATTATGAGAATTGAACAATTTTTAACCCCGAAAAAACGACACTATCTCCCTCATCGATCAGACAAATGTTACAAGGGTTGGGAGTCTGGCATTGTGATCTTTACATGGAGGGTCACTAAATATTACGCTTACAGTCCCTTTAATATTACGCTAACTGCAGTCCCTTTAATATTACGTTAACAGTCCCTTTAATATTGCGCTAACAGTCCTTTTATAACATTGTTTTCGTGAAACTCCTTCTCCGCGTTTTCTTTGTATTACATAAAAATATAATTATGTCAGTTGTTTTCATGAAAATCTTGCTTATTTATCAAATTTTAAAAATAATAGTTATTCTCTTCTATTCTTTGCTTTCCCGGCAAAGAGAAAAAATAAGACAAAAACCTAGTTAAGGTTCATTCTAACTTTTAATTGAACTGTAAAAAGTTAAGATGTTGTTCGCGTCGGAAAGAAACTAAACCCCAAATTTGTTTTACTTTTTTCTCTTAAAGCTATATGTTTTTAAAGCAAACCACAGTTTAACCCTGAATTTTAAATAAATCGAAAGAACGTATAAAATGTCGTATTCTTCACTTTCTGATAATGGAATGTTGCAATTATTTAGTTTTTTAATTAAATGATTATACGAAGCTCTTTAAAACTGTTCCGGCATATTCAGTGCTATATTTATTTATTTTCGCAAATACTTAGATTTACGTAAAATAGTATAAAACCCATTGAAAAATTGTCAAGACGACATTTCATAAATTCTATCGATTTATTTAATATTTAGGGTTTAACTGTAATATTTTACAACCATTATCAAACCTGTTAAAATCGAAATTTTTCGGAGATAATATTTCTCATTTTAATCTGACATAAAATTCTCTTCATTGAAATTTGGGTCTGACTCCAATCGGTTCAGCCATTTTGACAGACAGACAAGCCAAGTCTCTGTTATATACAGTGAAACCCTTAATAACGAATACATCAAAAGAATTCATCAAATGTCGTATTCTTCACTTTCTGATAATGGCATGTTGCAGATATTTAGTTATTTAATTAAATGATTATATGGAGCTCTTTAAAACCGTTCCCGCATATTCATGGCTATTTATTTATTTTCGCAAATACTGAAATTTACGTAATATAGTATAAAACTCATTGAAAAATTGTCAAGACGACATTTGATAAATTCTTCCGATGTATTCGTTATTAATTGTTTCACTGTACATAAACGTTAAATATGGATTTTTATCTTAAAAGTATAATTAGACCCTAATTTCCAACAACTGTCTTTTATTCTTATATTTCTTAAAAATAATTTATTAATTTGACTTTTTTTAGAAAGAATAAAATACCTGACAATGACGGACGCTTCTAAAGTGTGGATGCCGGATACATTTTTCAGGTGAATTTTTGTTTATTTTCATAAAAATTTGGTGGATTTTCTAGTAATATTTGGTTTGGATTTTTCATTAATATTTGGTTTTGATTTTTCATTAATATTTGGTTTTGATTTTTCATTAAAATTTGGTGGATTTTCTAGTAATATTTGGTTTGGATTTTTCATTAATATTTGGTTTGGATTTTTCATTAATATTTGGTTTGGATTTTTCATTAATATTTGGTTTGGATTTTTCATTAATATTTGGTTTGGATTTTCATTAATATTTGGTTTGGATTTTTCATTAAAATTTGGTTTGGAATTTTCATTAATATTTGGTTTGGATTTTTCATTAAAATTTGGTGGATTTTTTAGTAATATTTGGTTTGGATTTTTAATTTTCATTTGGTTTGGATTTTTCATTAATATTTGGTTTGAATTTTTCATTAATATTTGGTTTGAATTTCAAATTACATTTGATTTTGATTCAACTTCAAAATTTTGTTTAAATTTTATATTTTTTATTTACACTCATGGCTCATGGTTCGGATTTTCGATAATGTTTGCTTTTAATTCTTTCAAATTAATTATAACTTGATTGTGATTTTTTCTTCAATATTTGGATAGTGGATTTATTTATTGGTCGCATGGATCTGTTGTTCAATATTCGATTTAAATATGTTTTAGGTTTATTACCTTTAACTCAGTTTTATAATTTGTGAAAAATGTTATTTTTCAAGGGAACCTTCATTTTTAGAGTGGCATGTCCGATTGAAACGTTGCCACTAAATTTTCAGTTTGAAAAATGAGGAAACCTCCACCTTCCTTGATCAGATAAAGGTTTAAATAACTTGTAATATGTGAGGAGGGAAAATAAAGAAAATATAATTATTTCCCTTTTACAAACATTATTATTTTCTATTGATTTAGTTCACTCCTCTTTGCTTCATACTTTTCCCCTTTTCGTCATTCTCCTTTTTCCTCTTTATGCACCTTTCTCCTTTTTCCTCATTATTATTCCCTTTTGCTAAGATAATGCCGATTTAAATGGTACCGCTGTGAATTGGATTGGGCATACTTTTTTTTAAGTGGGTGATCACTTTAAGTTACGTCGACAGAGTCTCTGTAATCTTTTTTTTTCTTAGGAATGAGAAGATTGGAGCATTTCATAATATTCTTCAACCTAATCTCTACATTAGGATCTTTCCTAACGGAGATGTACTCTATAGCATCAGGTATTACGGGTTAAAGATTATGTACTCTATAGCATCAGGTATTAGGGGTTAAAGACTAAATACTCTACAGTATCTGAGCCCGAAATTTAATAGAGTATCGTTGAACGAAACTCCCAAATTTCCTTTTTGGGGTCTTAGCATTTGTGTAGAGTTTGATTTAAGAGATTCCGTGGAAAAAAAAATTTCGAATTTTGTTTAGCCTGAAACACTGCACGGCTACCCATGAGTGTCGGCCCATAATAATTATAATAATGATAATAATAATAATAATAATGATTATAATACAGGGTGTCTCTGACTTGCGGCTGTTCGATGCATTTAGCTCTGTTCCCCCTGGATGAACAAACTTGTGCTCTCAATATTGCCAGCTGTAAGTACATATATACATGTACATTGTACATTGTACAAACATTTTATATTTTAAATCGTACATAAATTATACATGTAGATTTTACATTGTACATGAGAGAAGCATATCCTTGTCTCCATAATATTGCATTTCATTGAACTTATTACATCAAGATTAATTCAATTCATATTGTTGAATTTAATTAGTTCAATTTAATATTAGATTAATTAGATGGCTTAATTAATTAAATTAATGCGATTAAAATGGTTTTGGTTTAAACTACTAGACCTTTTATAACATTTTGCGTGCTAAGGTTGAGTTTTAGCTTAAAAAAAGAAAAATATGATAAAAAGAAACTGATGATAAAGAAAACTAAATCCTGTGAAGCAAAAAGCTTAATTCATTATAATAATAGAAAAGTTGGATTGAAGTGTTTGTAAAATTTATTTAGATCTAAATGAAAGATATTTGTTAGGGATGAAACAGAATAAATTAGAATCAATTAAACTTCAAGTTTAAAAACTATTGAAAATCTTGAGAAGTAGTTTAAGTGATCTTTAATTACAGAGTGGAATGTGTCTTATCATGGCTGACGGAGATATCCTTGATTTTCTAGTTTTGTGAGAAAAAAATTGCCAAACCCACAATCAAGATTTAACGATAAAACGTATGAAATTACTGTTGGTTTCAACTGTTGATCAATAAAAAGATTTTAAATTTTGGATAAGCTTAATAACAGTCCTTTTCAAACCTCTCCGATTCCTACTAATTTAGTTGAGAGTCTTGTTAATTCAGTAAATGCCTCATTTTCTTTCAAACTATTTATAAATCTCTGCTCTTTCTCAGATCCTCTTATAAAACATTATAAACTTTTAGCTTACATAAGCTCAAACCTTATGTAAGGTTAAATAATGTCTCATCCTTTTATTTTTGCAATCTGATGTTGTAGACCTTTGATATTCAAACTATGAATTCGTATAGTCTCAGTTTGAAATATTAAAGGTATCAGGTTGCAAATAGATAGGGATTAAAATTTTTGGTTTTTGGCAGTTCCTCTATCATAGGGCCTCAATCCAGCAATTAATTTAGTTTAGTAGCATCCAACCTAGGGAGTCTAAATAGAACACCTCTAAAACTCTAATTTGAATATCTGTCATGTAGATGGTTGGACCAAGAGTGACCTGGTGTACGTGTGGAAGGATGATGATGCTGTTCAGATCCCCGGAAATCTATCCCTTCCCGGGGGATTTAAGCTAGGGGGGTACGGGAACCAATACTGCGACGTCGTAACGGCTACAGGTATAGTTCAGATACCCTTGGAATCTATCCCTTCCCGGAGGATTTAAACTATGGGGGTACGGTAACCAATACTGCGACGTCTTAACGGCTACAGGAATAGTTCAGATCCCCTGGAATCTATCCCTTCCCGGAGGATTTAAACTGAGGGGGTTCGGGAACCAATACTGTAATGTTTTGACGGCTACAGGTCAAGTTCAGATCCTACAGGAATAATGCATGGGTTGACACAGGAACCAATATGGCAACAGGCGTAGGATTTGAATTTGTTTTTTGCCGAATTAATTTTGTTAAAAAAAAAACCTTTTCTGAAGCTATTAAAAATGCAAAACCAAACTAAATAAAAGCTACACGAACATGCTGAAATAAAAGTTGAAAAAAAAACAAATTTTCCGAATGAATTCCATCTTAAATATCCTTCCATACATTTTTTCAGCATGTCACGTGTAGACTTTCATATACTAAAGTTATAAATATCCTAATTTAAATAAATCTGTTAGAAACTGCAAAACTCTAATAAAACGACAATCATATTCAACTTCTTTCATTTTATTTCGATACAGGTTTGTTTCACTCACAATAATTGCATTAAAATTTTCTTAATACGTTCTTTCTTTTAATAAAACAGCAAAATCAACTTTTATTTTCCAGGTGAATATTCGTGTTTACAAGTTGACCTAATGTTTGCCCGGCAGCTATCCTTCTTCGTGGTCACCATCTATATTCCCTGCTCCATGACCGTGACCGTTTCATGGTTCTCTTTCTGGCTCGACCACAAAGCGGTCAGTATTATCATATATATGTTGCGTAAAGACGACTAAACGGCTGAACCAATTGGGCTGAATTTTTTTGTGGACACTCATAAATGGCCGGGGGGTGTTACAGGTTACGGGCAACGCCAGGCCATTCAGCTTGTTATTAATATTATTATTATTATCAATTAGGTTCCTGCTAGAGTTGCTCTGGGAGTTACAACTCTGCTAGCTATGTCGACAACTCAGGTATTTATCTATCTATCTATCCATCCATCTAACCAAGGTAATAAGGCAAGGTAAATTAATTGCTGTTGCGTATTCTCTGCGTACATATTGAAACAAGTTCTCTTTGAGGGGTGTTTGTAAACAAGAATAGATGCATCAATGTTCCTCTAGTATCCGAGAAGAATAAAGGCATTTAATTTTGAACATTTTGATAATTCACATAATAGTTTCCTATGACCAGAATATTTCATTGATTTTTCATGTGAAAGATGGATCCCATGTCAGGCTGGGATATCCGTCTTGTGTTTACTTTACAGCCCAGAGTACACTGCAGTACTAAAAATGCGTACACCTCTGAAATAACTATGTTTACATTATAATTCTTTGTATCTATAAGTCTAATTTTGCTTATTTATCTGTCTATCTGTTTGTCTATACATCTTTCTATCTTTATATGTCTAACTATCTGTATATGTATATGTCCATGTATGTCCTACACATCCACTTTTCATTCCCTAAATCCATTTTTAAACTTGATGCAAATTGTATTTTATCATTTCTTCATCCCTATATTATCATTTATATTATTTGATATAATATTCAGAAATGAACGGAAACCTATATTCCGATACTAACGGAGTGTTTATTCTGAATATACGAAAACACTACAGTAATAGATTATAAATAATAAAAAACATAGTTTTACAAGTTCCCTTTCACCAATGTTTAAGTACAATATTTACAATGAACCATTTTTTTCTTTTTAGCCATTGTTTTGATAAAAATAAATTATTAATAAAAATGAAAAATAAAAATAAAAATAAAAATAAATAAAAAATAAAAATAAAAAAATTATTTTGTCTGTGACATCATTTCTCTATGCAGCTCCAGGTCCCAATGTCAAATCTATGGTATTATATCATCTATGACTACCTCTCCTATTGTTATTATTTAGTCTATGCAAACTTCTGTCCTCCCTACCCTGTCTTGTGTCTATGTGATATTATAGTGTCTATGATTACCAATCCCTTTCTTACATGTATGATAGTATTTCATCTAAGACTGCCTACCACATCTTTATATAAGTATATATAAGTATAAGTTTATATAAGTATATTTAAGTCTATTTCAGTCCCTATCACCCTAGGCTTGTCTTGATTGTATTAAGTCTATGACCTCTCCTTTGTTACATCTATGATATTATTTTGTCTATGGCTACCAGTCCTCCTGCCATGTCTTGATGTTATCAAGTCTATGGCTACCAATCCTCCTGCAATGTCTTGATGTTATCAAGTCTATGGCTACCAGTCCTCCTGCCATGTCTTGATGTTATCAAGTCTATGGCTACCAGTCCTCCTGCCATGTCTTGATGTTATCAAGTCTATGGCTACCAATCCTCCTGCCATGTCTTGATGTTATCAAGTCTATGGCTACCAGTCCTCCTGCCATGTCTTGATGTTATCAAGTCTATGGCTACCAATCCTCCTGCAATGTCTTAATGTTATCAAGTCTATGGCTACCAGTCCTCCTGCAATGTCTTAATGTTATCAAGTCTATGGCTACCAGTCCTCCTGCCATGTCTTGATGTTATCAAGTCTATGACCACTCAAGCTATAAAGCTCTCAAGCAAAAATGGATGATAATTTTGCAATTACTTCTTTAAAACCAAAGTTAACAACAAGTTCTTTATAGTGCTATAAGCTACCGGAAAAGGTCTACAGAAAACCATAAATGAGTTAGAACGGTAAAATCAAAGCCCAAGACGTTGTGTCACTTCAAAGTCGACCCTGTCTCGAAAATTAATGAGACTTTTTATAAAGGTCGATGACGGACATAGGCTTGTCTACCACCCCTGAATTTACACTCAGCTCTTATCTGGGTTGATTTATTAGAACTTAAACGGAGGGAGCTCAAGCCTACAACCTAGATTGAAGGTTTGACAGCGATTATTATCATTAATATCAATATTATTATAAGTAGGTTGAATCTATGTGCGCGCGTGTGCTGCGATGTCTTCATATTCTTAAGGCAATTACATATTATGTCATTTTCTCCGAACGTAAGATCTCACAGAGATCTATACAGAGAATAGGAATAAAGTGAAAGGAAATGGCGCTGGTCTGGCATGAGAAAGCCAGTCGCACTGCTTTGCAGACAAGTTCGGTAAACCTTACAGACACTCTTTTGGTACAGACACACAACATGACTACAGTCAAGGAAATTGCAGCACAATGTTGTCAATTATAATTAAGCTTGAACAACGACTAGTTTCTTGTAAACTTTAATCAATTATATTCTTTGCATGAAAATTTGGCTTATAATGTTGACTTGAATATATAGATAATATACTACATGTATATAAAACTTATTTTTAAGTAAACAATTAACGATAAACAAATGTACTCTCCTAGACTGTACAAATACCGAGATTCGTATGTACTATATATACCCTACAGTACACGCCTTCGGTTCGGTAAACTTTACACACACTCTTTTGGTACAGACACACACACATGACGTTTCCGCCCCCTGGATCCGGACAGCTTTGAAAAGCTGGACAAATTTCTAGACTAGGTTGACTTTAAAGTGCTCGCAATGCCTTGGCTTATGATTTTACCTGACTAACTCACATTTTATAACCGTAAAGCCCTTGCTTCTTGGTTTAGTTTGATTGAGTTATAAGGAAAATGCGTGAGAGCTTGCATTTGCAACCTTTAGATATCATCACTGTGATCTATGACGATTAATTCCTTTGTTACATTTAAGAAATTGTTTTCTCTGTGATATTATTTAGTCCCTTGTCGTGACTAGATATAATTTTCTCTATGGCATACCTCTCCTCTGCTACATCTTTGATATTGTTTAATCTATGTTAGCTCCTATCCCTCTGTACTATCTATGATATTATTTAATCTATGTTAGCTCCTATCCCTCTGTAATATCTATGATATTAGTTAAGATGTTGTTCGNGATATTATTTAATCTATGTCAGCTCCTATCCCTCTGCCAAATGTTTTATTTCCTGTGGACTGTCTAGCATAGACATTAGACAAGCCAACACAAATATAAGACAAATGTTTAAAATCTTAGAATTTAACATGACGTATACTATACAGTATATACTGTATATACTGTATATACCTTCTTCAATACTAGATACAGTATATACCTTCTACAATACTATAGTATATACCTTCTACAATACTAGATACAGTATATACCTTCTACAATACTAGATACAGTATATACCTTCTACAATACTAGATACAGTATATACCTTCTACAATACTAGATATAGTATATACCTTCTACAATAAGATAAATAAGATATATAATTAGGCTTTCTTTTTATTTCTTTCAGAACATTTGATTAACATTCGAGTCCTTAAAATATTCTAATCTAATACTTTTTTAATTTTTTTCTGTTCTTATTCTTTCTTTCTTGATTTTTAATGCTCTACTTTGTTTTATTATTTTTTCAATCATTTCGCCGTGTTGTTTCTGTATTTTTTTATGGTCAATTAATCTAAAAAGGAATTGAGTTTTTGCCACAAACTCAAATTTCTAATCCCTATAGCTTTGCAACCAGATGATGTAAACCGATGATATTTCAAATTTAGACTATTTGGTCTTACAGAATTTATAGTTTGAAATATCAAATGTTGCTAAGATATAGAGGGAAATAGTTAGAGTTTGTGGGAAGAACTCATTTCCTTTTAGATTGTTTTTAAAGAAATGAAAAATACATATTTTGCCACACAGAGGGCCCATTTGAGAAATTGCTTAAAATATTTACTTTTCCGAAATGAAATCATCTATATCTTATTTTCAAATGTTTATTTATTTTCTCAGCCCTAGAGATGGTATGTTAAGAATTATTAATTGTTCAAAGTTAAAAGAGAGATTTTTGCATATTTGACATCTGTAAGTTTTACGCCAAATAAAAATTTTATTAAGGAACTTACGTTTTTGTTTTTAGGCCAGCATTCAGAATTCTCTACCCCCTGTAGCGTACACAAAGGCCATTGATGTCTGGTCTGGAGTCTGTGTATTCTTTGTATTCAGCGCTCTTCTAGAATATGCTCTTGTTAACTACGCATCCAGGTACTACTTCCTCATGTTCAGTGCTCTTATAGAATATGCTCTGGTTAACTACGCATCCAGGTACTACTTCCTCATGTTCAGTGCTCTTATAGAATATGCTCTTGTTAACTACGCATCCAGGTACTACTTCTTCATGTTCAGTGCTCTTCTAGAATATGCTCTTGTTAACTACGCATCCAGGTACTACTTCCTCATGTTCAGTGCTCTTCTAGAATATGCTCTTGTTAACTACGCATCCAGGTACTACTTCTTTGTGTTCAGTGCTCTTATAGAATATGCTCTTGTTAACTACACATCCGGTTACTACTTCTTTATGATTAGTGCTTTTCTAGAATAAGCAAATGGTCGGTGCAAAGTGCAAAAGGTTTGAGTACACATGGTTGGAAAAAGAAGGATATTTGTTTCCAATACTAGAGAGTATCCAACCCTTTTCTTGTCCCCCCTAGACCAATCTTTAGGTTTCCAATAGTTGATACAGTATACCTTGCATCTACCCCTAGAGCAATGGAAGACTATTCTTCAGTATTCAAGTATGCAGCCGGTTTAAAAAGATAATGTTATGTGGCCGCACCGTAATAGCTTCTGAATAGCATTAATCTTACAAAAAGGAAATTGATTATTTTGGTGTACCGTGTAATATCTAGTTTTACCGTCTTTAGTATGTACGTAAACTGTACAACTTGCTCTAGCTGCCTAAATATGTGTCCGATACGGTCCGCTAGAAAGAAGCAGAAGGTTGAATTTATTCAACATCACTGGTATGGCTTTGTGACCTCGCAGCTTCTCTAATTTTAATTTTACACATAGTATGATTAAAGTAAATTTATTTGGTTTTATATTAGACAAAACTAAGTTTTAATTTTACACATAGTATGATTAAAGTAAATTTATTTGGTTTTATATTAGACCAAACTAAGTTGAATTACTTCTCTTGAAATTAAATCCAAGTATAAGTGGAGAAGATACATCATGTTAAACTGATGTAAATTGCACTGAAGATTGAAATTGCATTGAAGATTGAA